AGAGAGATACAGAGAGAGAGACAGAGAGAGACAGAGAGAGAGAGACAGAGAGAGAGACAGAGAGAGAGACAGAGAGAGACAGAGAGAGATACAGAGAGAGACAGAGAGAGACAGAGAGAGAGAGACAGAGAGAGACAGAGAGAGAGACAGAGAGAGAGACAGAGAGAGACAGAGAGAGAGAGAGAGAGACAGAGAGACAGACAGAGAGAGAGACAGAGAGAGACAGAGAGAGATGCCACTACAGCTAGTGCAGCACGGATAAGCTCCTCCACTACTGTGGGTCTACCTGCTGAAGGTGTTTATAAACTGATGTCTCATTGTCTTAAGTCCAACATGATTAAAATAAGTTGGCTGTGGTTCTTACTCTTGGGCAAAGAAGTGGCTGAGGATGCTTTTTCTCACTGCAGCGTTCGCGACTACAATCGCCGCTGCAGCTCCGAGCGATAAACACATTTAGTTCCGGAAAGTTTTTCACAATAAAAGTCCCTTATTGACATCTCTGTGATGTGCTTTTCTTTTGAAACAGACGTATGAGGAAAGTGGGTGTTATAAGCTGCTGCAACTTAACACATCTGAGACGTGTGAAAATAAATACTTCAAACCAAACAGATTCAGTTAGAAGCTTCAGCAGCTAATAGGTAAACAAACAGTGACTAAGACATCTAATATTTAAGCTCATAAAGGCTCATTTTAAAACAATAAATGAATTATCTTTCATCTCAGGTTTATTTGCAGCTAAATCAGCCTTTGATGCTGAGACTAACCAGCCTCAGAATAATAAAACTAAAAACACTAAAATACTCTTTACACTGTTCATGATTGAGACAAAGATCCTTTTAGTATTTTCTTAAATAGTTTAAACATTTCCCTTCATAAAACAGCTGATTACTTGAACATATAATCCTTGATTATTTATCCATCATTATGTATATTTGTTTTTAGGCTATGAGAAAATGTTTATCAGAAAAGATAAATCTTTGTTAAGATTTGCCGTTAATTAAAAAAACTTTGAGATTAATTTCCTCTCGTCCTTTTTTCACAACACGAGAGATGCGTTGTTAAAAAAAAGTAACTAAGTAACTTTTACTTAAAGTACATTTTAAACAAGTTACTTTTTACTTTTACTTGAGTACATTTTTAATCTGGTACTTTTACTTGTACTTAAGTAACATTTTAGCAAAGTAACAGTACTTTTAATTGAGTAGAATATATTAGTACTCTTTACACCTCTGGCAGCGAGTCTGTTTTCGCCGGAGTACGCTGCAGGCACGCGTCAAGCTGGACAGAATATGACAGCCCGGACAGGAAGTCAGACAAGGAAACGCACAGAGCGTCCAGTCAATTTTAAAATTAAACACAATATGCAGACTCGCGATCGTATTTTTCATCACTTTATCAACATTACGTCAAAACAGGTATCGAATTAACCACAATGCATCCTCAGAAAGACAAAGCAACATGTTGTTTGCATGTTTTACTCTTTATTCCCGCGGGATCTTGTAGTTGTCCTGTGATGTGTCATAGGTGTGCTGACGTCCCAGAAACAGATCCAGTGTGAATGGGCGCGAGCCGTCCGAAGGAGCAAAACCGTGGCACTGACAGACCGCGGCACGCACGGAATATGTGTAAATTGGGGGTTAGGCTCCTTGAAATTGTTGGTTGACGGCCTGCCAGAACAACCCCCAAACCCCCCAACCCCCAACCCCCACCCCCTTACTCCCTATCCCTCTTCCTGAATTTTATCCCATCTCTCCCCTATCCCTTTCCAAGCCCGGCGCAGTCTAGGCCTGTGAAGGCTGATGAGCCCGGGATCAGGCCGAAGATTTCTGACTTTTAATAAGGCAGTTTTTTGTTGTTGGTCTTTTGTATAAAGTTTAATTTTATACAAAAGACCAACAACCAACAATTGTATTTTAGTGTGTCGTGAGTTTATGAAGATAAAGACTGTAAAGATTGCACAAAGTAGTAGTTGCAATAATGAGCTTAAACTGCACATCATTTACAAGTAAAAAGATATTTATTAAAAAAGATTTCTAAAATAAGAGAAAATGTCTATCCACAGGCAACACTCTCTAAAGAACACAAGGGGAGGCTCTCAGCGTACTGAAACACCCATGTAAGACCATAACATCATCTGCTGAGATCATCAGCACACTTATACTGTGTTTTTTTTAAAGGTGCTCTATGGAGTTTTGGTAGAGAAATGTGAATGTTGGAGAAATGTACAGATTCTGTGGTATGTGTTCATTACTCTATATGCTTCTATAGAAGTACAATGTGACAGAGCAAAGCAGAGAGATGATCACCAATGACCAAAGTGACTACAACAACAGCAAAGACAGGAAATGTGGAAAGCCTAAATAAGTGGGTGGGCAACAGGAGGTACCTGAGAAATTAGTTTAAAAAGACATTTAATGCAGATATGTTGAGATAAGAAGAACAAATATGTTTAAATATCTGAGTACTTTTCACATTGTGAATTAAGTCAAAGGTTTCCATGCAGTGGCTCATTTTTCTTCTGCTAATTAAAACGTGCAGTAGATCTGATCAAACTCGTAGCTCTCTCCTTCATCACTCGTATGACTATCATTACAAGCTCCAATGTTTTGTCAGTGGTTATAATGCCACTGATGGGACTCCAAAGCCCCCTGCAGTAACAGACGGGTGATGTCACTCTGGCTTAGTCCATTCATTCTTACAGGCTGTGGTTGCACACCAGAGAAAAATTAGATACATTGAAAACCAACATTTTAAACATCTAATCCACATTCTATATTTGACCTAGCCTCCAGTGACTCCGGTGACTCCATCGGTCCACCCCATGTTGAGCCTGGTGTATCTTGGATGATGGTGTTCAGTCCAGCCATCACGGTCCTCTCCACCTTCCTGTGCCTGACTTTTGTTTATCTCTGCAGTCAGAATGCAGGTAAATACACTACAATCACTTTTTACCTGTTAAGTATAGACATTTGAATCGACTTAAATACAAATGAATCATATTGATTGTGATGGATCATTGAATGAATGAAGTCGTTGTCTAACAAGAAACCTTTTATTTATGATTCTACAGATGAAAAAGATCAAATGACTGAGAGAAGACCTGACATGGGAGAGGAAAGTACAGTGAATCAGGTAAGGACTTTCTTTGGTATTTTCATGGTCTCAGAACCATTAGACATCTTTGCAGCAGTAGAGACTCTGTACTAATGACACTCATGTTACTGTGTCTGATTACCTTTCAGGATGAAGACGCATGTTTCACCAGAGTTGTGTTCTTGTGTGTCGATGGACGGAACAAATAGATTGGCTTTGTCTGAGCGGACATCACACAAGCTCCACTTCAAACTTCTCACAAAGTCTTTAGAGTCCGAGTTTAAAGACCTGTTATATTTGTACACAGTGATGATGCGTTTTGGGGGCGGAGTCAAAATGGTGTCAGAAAGTCAGCTAGTGGTGTTGAATTAACTGTTTGTTTGTTTGTTTTCTGGCTTCTTGCCTTCACTTGATAAGACGGTGTATAGAGTAGTAAACAGGAAAGAGAGAGGGGGGAATGACATGTGGTAATGGAACCACAGGCCGGACCTGAACCACCCGCCCAGAGGACCAGAGCTTCCAAACATTCGGGCAACCCAACCAGCAGGTCAGCTGTGGTCATGAATTAACAATTGGGTCTTCGGCAGATGTTCAGCAGAAGCAGCTTTTGAGGACCCTTGTTTACTATCACAATGACGTTAATCATCCTACTACGACGCTCGATGGCCGATTAGGATCCAATTTGTCAATGTCTTCAGAGACATAAACATCAACAAAACAGATATTTTCAACAAGTAAACAAGTAAACAAGTATCGTTATTATAGCAAAGATTACTTTGACACGACTAAAAGTGACAGCAAGAGATCGCTGCCAGGCTTAGAACTGTGCAACCCAATACATGGCCTTCCTGGGCACCAACAGTGCTGCACTTTCAGGAGGAAGACTCAGATTTCATTTTAACTAGTTCACCACAATGAATTAATTTTTTTAACATTAATCCCGTTTTAGTTTGCATACTGTTTCCAATTTATTCATCATGTGTAACTATGTTGTAACCATTACTAATGTACATGTATTCTTCCTTTATGTTCACCATCTATTTGTAATAAAGATTCACATTAAGCCAAGAACTTTGTTGGTTTGTTTCTGTTGAAAGGTCGAGCAGATCTAAGAAAGGCCGAACCCCAAGGGACCCACACAGAAAAAAAGTGATAGGCTAAGATTGATGTCAAAAATCAACAAAAATTAATTCCAATTTATTCAGTGAGAACCTTAAGTCGAGGTGTGGCTGACTAAGGCAGCCTGATGTTTTTCAGTGAGGAAACATGAATTTTTTACACAGTTTGGGTAAAATATGGTAAAATCTTCTGGAGGTTCAAAAGATTTGCAAATGTAGAAATACACCGCAAGAAAAGGTGGTCATTGTTGCTTTAAGTTAGGATGAACCCTGTTTGTGCAAGCCTCCATGGGTCCTTCCCATGCAATCTTTCCCCAGAAATATCTTAAATTGACTTGAGCTTGCATAGCACTTTTCTATTCTTCAGTCTACTCAAAGCACTTTTACACCGCAGACGAAGTAGCTGGAGCAACTTTGGCTTGAGTGTCTTGCTTAAGGACATATCAGACATGTTGCCCCAAGCTTTACTCTTTTTCCCCACCGTAGGGGCGGCCATAAATATTGAATCACACCATCAAATGCCAACATTTATATAGAGGAGAGGAAATATGCCTGAGCTGTGTATAAGGATACACATGTTCAGTTCAGGCTGCGTAGGTTTTATGTGCCATGAAACAAACATGTTTTAAATGTATAAGAACACAAAAATCCTACAAGTGGTTTTTCAGGCATTGTCTGAGACGGCTAAAATGCTGTTTTTTATGGTCGGAAAATCTGTTGAAGATGAGTTGGCAACTTAAGAAGCTCATGTGTGTCATTTTTTGGACAGCGACATATACTGCAGTCACAGTTTAAGTGTTGTTTGAACTCTTTCAACTTTCTTTCAGCCTCCACTATGTACTGATATGATCTTACGATGGGGGATTTCTCACAAACAGCGACCCATAAATCTATTCTTCTTTCATAATTTGAAGTAGCTGCACTGAGGGTGAATGTGATGGACACTTACACCTTGCACACAACCATGATATCACTTTCACCCACACTCTTACTTTTTTCAGTTCCCCAACAAAATTGGAGTCATTGAACCAGACAGTTAAAACAGTTTGTTTTAGTGTAAAATTAAACAATAACTTCTGTTACTGTGCTAATCATTATTTCTCTGTCTTTCAGTAACATGACTAGTGGGTGGGGGCAGGACTTCCTGCTTCCTGAAGGCTCCTCTTTAGACCAGACCAAATGCTCTGATGTCATGGGGGAAGGGGGGGGGGGGGCTGCATTAGGTCGGTTCACTGAGTTCACACCTTAGCTTTTCTCATGTTCAGTAGAGTTATGTTCAGTTATAGTTTCACTTTTAAAGCTAAGAAATTTGGGGTTTGTACATTTTGTATTCATCTTTGAGTAAAATAAAAACTCCTGTTGTCTCTTGCCTAGCTTCTTGGTCCTTAACAGTCACATTAAATCAGTATAACTTTACATTTATCTTATAGAGAAACAAGCTGCTTGATCCTTTATAAACATGTTTGATCATAGCACTCTGCACTTTATTTGGCACTCTGCGATTGATTGAACTTGCTGTTGAAATCCCAACATGTAATCATGTTATGTTTTAATGATGTATTTTAATTTGGTTTTTTTTATGGTTTTTGTTTTCATGTGCAGTCCTGTATTATGGTTTTGATGCCCTTTGTCACTAACATTGTGTTTTTATGCCGAAGCAACATTACAAAAAAAGGCAACACGTCTTCTGATTGAATTGTTGCCCTGACGATGACCTGAAAGACCAAAATGTCTCGTGGTTACTCCCATGAAAAAAAAATTAAAAAAAATGTTCCACCAGGAGTTTACCTTTCAGGATGAAGACACATGTTTCACCAGAGTTGTGTTCTTGGTTGCAGATGGACGGAACAAATAGATTGGCTTTGTATGAGCGGACATCACACAAGCTCCACTTCAAACTTCTCACAAAGTCTTTAGCGTCCGAGTTTAAAGACCTGTTATATTTGTACACAGTGATGATGCGTTTTGTGGGCGGAGTCAAAATGGTGTCAGAAAGTCAGATAGTGGTGTTGAATTAACTGTTTGTTTGTTTGTTTTCTGGCTTCTTGCCTTCACTTGATAAGACGGTGTATAGAGTAGTAAACAGGAAAGAGAGAGGGGGGAATAACGTGGTAATGGAACCCAGACCCGTCCACCCAGAGGACCAGAGCTTTCTCACATTCGGGGCAACCCAACAGCCAGGCCAACTGTGCTCATGAATTAACAATTAGTTCTTTGTCAGATGTTCAGCAGAAGCAGCTTTTGAAGACCCTTGTTTACTATCACAATGACGTTAATCATCCTACTACGACGCTCGGTGGCCGATTATCATCCAATTCGTCAATGTCTTCAGAGACATTCACGTTGTTATGGAAGAGTTTGTGGAGTCACAGAGTACATTTAAAGAAATGAATATTATTTTCACCATCTATTTGTAATAAATATTCAAATTAATCAAAGTACGTTGTTGGTGTATCTCTGTTAAAAGGTCAAGCAGATCTAAGAAAGGTTGAGCCCAACAGGAGCCACAAAAAAGTGATAAGATTGATGACAAAATTCAACAGAAATTCTAATTGATTCCATGAGAACCTTTATTCAAGGTTGTCATTTTTTACACAGTTTGGGTAAAATGTGGTCAAATCTAAGTTGGGCAACCTCAGAGCAGAAAGAGCCTTGCCTTCCACACGATACTGAGGCTCCTGTTTGTTAAATCAATAAATTGTTAAATTGCCAATGTGTCTTGTTTCTTCAGATTTTAATCCTCCAATCCTGTTAGCTTGGGTGGGTTTTTTGTTTAGTTCATTTCTGTTTTGCTGTTACTGTTTGTGTCTCAAAATAAAAAACTCAATAAAAAAAAAAATCATCAAATCCACTAAACGAATAAGCTGTTTTTTCTATGTTTTTTCAAGTTTTTGAATTTTCATACTCAGCTCTGCTACTCATCCCACATTGCATGTTCCTTACAAATGTGGCACCATTTAAAAGGGAAATAAACAGTCTTTCCAAAGTTATAAGATTTATTGCCAAGAAGCATTGTTACAACAAAGAAATAAATCTACCAAACACAAATGTCCTTACTTTTTGTTCGATGTTTATGTCAACATTACAAAATTATTTTTTTGTTCCTCTGGTCTTAGGTCTGTTACATCCTAGATGTATTAAGAGCAGAATAGGTGCAGAAGTCAGAAGTCTGCGGTTCCTTCTTCTTCTTTGGTCTCTTTGATTTCTGACGGATTTCCACAGCAGCATAGCACACATCGTCACCCTAAGATTGGATATTTGTCATTTAGAAGCCCAACCTTGAACATATTTAATGCTTTGATACATTACACTTTAATGATAGATACCTGGCTCTGTCTTGGATGACCTCTAGTGTCAGGTCTTTGCTGATCAACAGGATGTTCTTCAGCTGCAGGAATAAATATAACATCAGTACAGCACAATGAAACTCACACAGTGGAAAAGACTTTAAGGTGTCTTTGTGATTAAAACACTTAAGTGGATACATATTCTAGAAAAAGTGAGGTAGTTACCCTTCTTACAGCAGTGATAGACCACAAGTGAGGAGAGGAGAGCGGAGACAATAGATACAACTGGACACAGACAGAAGATCAGAATCCAGCACTCATTGGGGGGAGGAGTCTTATTCGGTTCTGCATCTAAATGAAAGTTGTGTTGATTACGTTCATTTAACTCTGATCTACAGAAAAATTCCTAAAAAGTTGGGACATGTAGAATCTAAAAAACATTGAATCCCCATATTTCAATGAAAATTGCTCAAAGACAACGTAAATTGTTGAAACTGTGATATTTTATTGTTTTTGGAAAATGAAATGCCCAGTTTGAATTTGATGCCAACAACATGATTCAAAAAAGTTAGGATGGTGTCAAGGAAAATTATGGGGACACGTCGGACAAAAGCACCAAATTTTTTCCACATAGTCTCCATCACAATAGCTTTCAATTTTCACTTTGCACTTCATCAAGTTGGCGGTTCTAATATGGCGGCCATGTAAAGTCTATAAGTGCCAATATGTCTTCCAAGCCACTTAGAAGTCAATCTTGGTGTCAATATATACATTTTCTGGGTAGAGGAATGCATTAAAATATGTGGAAAAAATGTGTGCTCTTGTCCGATGTGTCTCCAGTCTTCCCAAATCTGGTTCTAAGCTGCCTGACTAAAAGACTGAAAAATGGTAAAAAAAACCCAAAAAAGAACGAGGTTAACTGGCAACAAGTTTCCAGCTTGTCTCCTCCCGCCTCAACCAAAGCCAGCAAGAGGCTCTTTCTGCTGCCTCCCCCAACCTGCCAAGCAGCTGCCTTCCTCTCCCTTCCTTCCACACAGACCCCTGGAAGCCACTTACAGTATATAAGCCGAGTCCTGATAGGCTCAGGTGTAACCAGTTGAACTAATGGCCTTCCTGACTCCGCCTCCTGTCTACCAAGCCAGGAATCCAAACAAATGCGCCATGCGAGAAGGCGTCAACCATCCATAACTCAAGTAGTGTAGTCAATCAATCAATCAATCAATATTTATTTGTATAGCGTGTAGTGGAAAAATACCATCTGTCTGTTGCCTTCGTTTGACCTGAAAAGATTAGGATGATCGTGCATCATTTAGCAATTAGAAACTGTTTCTCTGTATGGCCTTGGTCTGTATCTCCAACAGGAACACTCCTCAGGATCTGGGTACAGCATGACCTTAGATCAGTGCCTTCCTGACAAAGTAGTTTCTGTTGATGTTCCTCCCTACCAGGTGCCTTATAGAAGCTTGCATAGATAAATCACCAGGCAAACTAGCAGAAGACGTAGTCACTAGGGCAAGCTGAAACCAATGACGATGTATCACTCATGTATATGCAAAATACCTACACCCTGTGAAAGTATAAATATGCTCTGCAACCTGGACTGCCCCGGGAGTCTTTGATGCACTTGTAACTGATGTTACTTTTGCAGCTGAT